AGATGCTAAGAGAGTTTTTTCTTATGGAGTCCGACATGGCTTGATTTTAGATTAATTGAAATCCAATGTGATTACCAAATATTAGGAGTTTAGTACTAAAAAAAAGCATGTTTTGTAGATTTCCTTTTAATGGCAAGAGAAAACCATCTTGCACATGCTTCCATGCTTTCAGGACTATGAGCTCCATCAAGATAAAACACCAGATCTCTGGAACTTTCCATGCTAGCAAGTCTATCAGGGACAATCTGAGCTCTTCCTTGCAAATTGGCTGTTGTTAAGCCTTTGATGAACTGCTCAGGCAGTGAACTCTATTCCAAGTATAACTTAGTTTTAGGGGAAAATGAAACCCAACATAATAATTGATACCATGTGAAGAAATCACTAACACATGGTACTTACTGTCTGGTTAAAGTAGGCAGTGTCAAGATGACCAGTCCTCTGAAGCCACGTAGAAGATAATGCAATGGCAAGACCAACATTAACATATTGGTGCTCACCTTCAAGTGAAAGCTTTAGACCATTAAGCAAGCTCTTGTCTTAAGGCCGTGCAACTTGAAGATGTACCTGTTATCAATGCAATTTTTTCAGTTTACCTACCAAAGCCTGCAACCTTCAAATTGCATCCTACTTGGCATGATATAGTGAGATAACCATATATGCAGCTACCAAAGTTATAAGATTCAGTAGGCCAATGTATTTCCTGACTTTTCCAGAACACACAACAGATAAAGCGTCCCTAGAATGTGACAGAATCACTGGATAGCGTGCTCTTGTAGATATGATCTTAGCATCTCATCTATGGAGTTGTTTATGAGGTGAAAAATATTAAAGTAAATTTTAGAGGTGATGGATTTTGGGTTTTAATAGATGATCAAATAAATTTCGCACAAACTTTTACAAAGGCTATTATTTGCTAAATAAGTTCCATTGAAATGTTAAATGAACGAAGCTAAAGGGCAGGTTCTGTAGGGTGTAGAGTCTGTAGACCTTCCCCCACCAAAATATTGTTTACAGAATGGGCTTTTTCTATGAAAAAGGTTAGATTGGGCTTTACCACTGCCCAACTTTGGGCCTGGTGAAATGGAGTTGCTTAAACAGATCGAACAGGAATGTTCCGGAGCTTTCATTTTGGCCTGCAACATCGACGAATGACATTGTCAAACAGGACAGGAATACTCTGGAAATTTACAGAACTATCTATGCACCACCTCTTTCCATGTCTCTGTCGCAAAGGAACATTCGCGTAAGTTCCAAAATCATGTTCCAGATTACCAGAATCTTCTCTTGCAATCTATAAATACACCATCCAGCTCTTTCATGTCATCGTAACAAGGAAAAATTCAAAGCATTCAGTAAAAGCAAAAGTCAACGCTCTCACAACTCAAAAGGCTTTCTGCGAAGTTCGTCGCAAATGGCTCTGATTCCAAGCATTTTCGGTGGCTGCCGGAGCAACGTTTTCGACCCCTTCTCTCTAGACATATGGGATCCTTTTGAGGGCTTCCCGTTCCCCAGCGCTCTCTCCTCTGTTCCATCCTCTGCTCGCGATACCTCTGCATTTGTCAATGCTAGGATTGATTGGAAAGAGACACCAGAAGCTCACGTATTCAACGTTGACCTTCCTGGGTTGAAGAAGGAAGAGGTGAAGGTGGAGATTGAAGAAGATCGGGTACTGCAGATCAGTGGAGAGAGGAGCAGAGAGCAGGAAGAGAAGAATGATACATGGCACAAGGTGGAGAGAAGCAGTGGGAAGTTCTTGAGGAGGTTCAGGTTACCGGAAAATACAAAGATGGACCAGGTCAGGGCTAGCATGGAGAACGGCGTGCTTACTGTGACTGTTCCAAAGGAAGAAGAGAAGAAGCCTGAAGTCAAGTCTATTCAGATTTCTGGTTAAATGTCATCTCTCTTGTTCTCTGTTCTTCAGTCCCATGTTGGAATTGTAATTGTAAAACACTGAAAATTTGTGTGTTGGTATGAAATAAAAATTCTGAATGTAATAAGAGGTTACAGATATAAAATAAACTCTTTTTTTTTTGAGATTGAACTCTTCTCCAAATTCATTCGGAAAAACAGATATTTTTTTAATACAAAAAGGGTGCAAGAGTCTCAGAAACTTAACGTGGATGAAAAGCCAGAGAGAAGCTTGCCTCGAATGAGAGACCAACTGATGGTGGTTTCTTGACTGACATACAAAAACAGAACTGCCAGTGGCTTTGGTGTTCCGACTTTGTCAAGAGCTCACTTCTTGACCAATCTCAGAACATCGCCAACAAGATGTAATGAACCAGTTACAAGGACCTAACCAATCAAACATGAACATGTTATTTGAGAGTTTCAGATATTCATTCTTAGTCATCTGTTTTAGAAAGCAAATATTGATGAAAAGTGAGGGAGCAAGTTACAAAATTTCTAGTATATTTGTTCATCATTAAAGAGGGCATTACCTGAAAACGTTAGAACTGTTCTTCTGGGCACTGTCCCTGAGCCATTTGATAGCTAACGGAAGTGAAGAGAAGACAGCACTATATTTGCAACTTTGAACACTCACTCCCGTATCATCTTTAAATTCTTCAGCTTTGTCTGCATTCTTTGCTTCATCTCCTAATGAGAATAAGAGAAAGCAAATGAGAACCAACTTATTCAGTATATTCAGATTTTTACGAATTATGTACAATATATTATGAAATCAAAGACGATATTAATTCCTTAATACCCAGTCCAGAATTCAAACATAAGGAAAATCAAATTGCTTTAAAACTAAAAACAGAAAAAAAAATTGAATTTTATCAACAAGGAGTTTTTTTTTTTGGAAGGGGGGGGAGGGTGTTGTAAATTATCAATAAGAAGTTATTTGTTACCAGGTTGAAAAACAAAGCAAATAAATATAATCTCTAAACTTAAATTCGTAGAATGTTTGCTATTTTCAATCAACTGATACCTTTACTGCCTTGCATCAGGTTTTCCCACACCTTCTGAAGAGTAAATTGCCATGACAAATCAACTTGAGAATCGGATGGTGGTAAAGCATGTGATCCAACCTTGTAATAGACTGATATGTTTGGAACAAAGAGTGCCTTCTTGAAATAGACACCTGAAATATCAATTAAATGTT